GCTGATTTGAGTATCACAAACTGCACACTGGTATTGATATCCAACGCTGTACCCCACAGATGTGTACAGTCAACTATGTCCCAATTTTAAAAAATACCCTTTTTTGCCTGTTTACTTCCTAAATCTGTAACCCTCCAATGTGGAGGGTAATGTTGATAATTTTACAACATTAATGTTGACAACTTTGTCAATTTAGTTTATTGCTTCAATATTACTTTAAAAAAAGTTCTTGAAGGAATAATTATGTAGTATGATTTTACTCCATCCCCTTATTTAGGAAACAGGGAATTATTAACTTATATTGGAGTTTGATTTAATAGTCAGAGTGTATGTTGCTTGGGAAAGGTGAGGAGAAGCTGAATAAAATATGAACGCTTTAATAGCTATAGGGCAGTGGGTATTACTGAGTGGGGAAGGAGCACAAAATGGGAATGATTTATGCTCTGCAACAGAGCCTCTTTTAATTCTCAATATTGTTTGTATCTGGCTTTAACTGAGACAGTGCTTTATGGAATAAAAATAGAGTTCTATCACTTTTCATAAGCTCTTTTTATAGTTCCCAATGTTTGCTGAATATTGTCGGTTGAGTATTAAAAAATATAAAGAGTCATCATGTTTTAAAATATTTTGATGACTAGTATATTTTTTAACATAAGAGGAAACTTAGCAAATATTAAAGAAAAAAGAAAGTCTGAATTATTAGAGAGAAAAGCGAGGGGAACTGAATCTAGATGATTTCTCTGAATCTCATTTTCCTATTGCCAAAAAGAAGACAGTCATCCCTGGACAACAATCCTATAAGTTTGCTCTGCAAGGTGTCTGTGTTTGGGTATCTGCAAACAATTAATTGATAAATAAATGTAAATTATTAGCACATGACATTCAAGAGTTATGGCTTCTCTGGATTCATTCAGGAAATTTGAATGCTTTGGATAGCCAAAGATTTGGAGAAACTATGGCAATGTCCCTTCAACCTTTCTTCATAGCTCCTGGTGCAAGTGATTTTAGTGCTCACCAAACTCTATATCCTAATGTAGGTATTTGCTGTATGTTAGAGCTCTACACATTAAATTTTAAAATGTTATTGATAACAACTAAATTTGATGAACAAACTGTGTAGAGACTAGATGAAGCAAACATTGCAAAATAATGAAAGAGAATATATATTTAT